AAATCCTTCCTTCATATCAGGATATTATAATATATATGGTATGTATAGAATATAGGTGAAAAAAAAATTTTCGTAAAAAGTTATGTTATTTTGTTTTTGGTTTTGAAGTTAGTTTGCATGTTTTTGAATATCAAACATTGTTTTACGCTTTTGAGCGGTCTAAGGAATCATCGCAAGTTTAAGTAGAACTCCGTCTAAATAGCTACTCGTACATTAAAATCTTTACTCTATTTTCCACCCTTGGGATCGTTTTTATCTAGTATATTTAGCAAGAAAAAAAAGAATCATTTAAATCGGTCAGCCGTTTGTGAGAAATCGGTGAACATACATAAAAAATATACTATATATTTGTTTTTTTTAAACTCTGTTAAATATGTGCGAATTCCATTTTATGAGTGCTATTTTGTCAAGAGTGAAATTATTTACACAAAAACTTATTATAAGATTGTTATTTTAGTAAATTTCATTAAAACTGTATGAATATCAAATTAGGATATTGTTATTTTGCTTCATATTTCGTAATGCGTACAGCAAAGAAGCGGAATAATTTGCCAGCGTCTGTCTTTCCATCCGAACACATTACTCTAGGCTTTTGATACGCTAAAACAGTGCGATTTGCCATCTAGGCCTTCATAACCACTTACCTATGAGATTGCAGTCAAGCACTGGCTTTTAATGTTAGAAAAAAAAGGTAAAGAATGTTGCATTCCTGAACTTAGTCTTTTAATTTTTTTGCGGAGAGATACTTAAGTCTTTCACCATCCTTATACATCAAGATACCTACTTTACTCCCCAGTTCATTTAAGACGAGGGTGGGGGCTCTATCGTCCGTGATTCAGGCATAGATTCGCCGTTTTCACTCCTTGAAACAGTGAGTCGGAGTGAAACAGATTGCTTTTTAACGATAAGTGTGACCGAGAGGATAAATCCAAGGGTCGGGTTAGTTATTGGGGCACATGTTTCTGACGCTGTTGGTTGATTTATAGGTGGGCGACGTAATAGAGATGAAAATCATTTCCATTGTCTTTAATAGTATACACAACAGTCTAATTGTAAAACATCGAAAGAAAGCGCTAATATTCATTTATCTTTAGAAAAGAAATTTTCTAATTCATGTATTGGGACAATGATCGTTACCATCCGAGGAATCCGATGTAATCTATCGGCAATATAATATATAATAGAACTATACGTAACGTAGCGCAGGTAAACTGAAACGGTTATTATAAAAATAATTGTGAGATATAGTGTATGTGTTTTACAGAATAAAGGAAAAATTGGCACACAGGTCACCTGTTGGTAAATGATTGATTGAGTTGAGTTGATTAAGAAACAAAATGCAGATTCGTTGTCACCCCTGAGGACTAAGATGGAATGCCTTCTTACCAGTGAAAATGGTCTCCGATTCTCTACACTCACCATACGAACTACGGCAGTAGTAAACTGCTATTTTATGCTGGTATTCAGTGAGAACGTGGTTCTTTCACGGTCGGGTCAACCCATTCGTACCGCTTCTTTTACATTTCTAAATGTACTCAACTACTCATGAAGTATTTCTATGACAATATGTAATCCAAATCTCTAGAAGTCAATATGTACAATATTTAAAAAAATGTGTTGTTAGGCTAATTCATGAAAGGCCTTCTTAAATAAGTTAAAATTACATTAAGCCGATACTTTCTTATGAGTGTATTTTTAATATTATTGACACCAGTAAAGAAGTAGAAAGCCTTCTCGAAAAGAATACTCGCGTAGCAACGAATCTTCGATTTCGATCAGTAAAATGAATAACCCTAGGAAGCGTAATGAAAACATCAAACTCACTCTCATAGATTATTATTAAAAAAACTATATACATAAGTTTTATACGTGGTAGAGCCATGCTGCAGCTATATTAGTAGTATTAGTTGTAGCACGAATTGGTCGACTCGACCGAGGAACGACCACGCTCTCACTGAATATCAGCGTAAAATGGCAGTTTGATACTGCTATGTTTCGTATGGTGAGTGTAGAGAACCGGAGACCCATTTTACTGGAAAAGTGGAATTCCATCTTAGTCCTCACGGGTGACGACGTATCTACATTTTGATTCTTTATTGAGGAAAAATGTAGGTGTCTATGGGTCACAGCAACAACTTACCATCAGGTGGACTGTGTGCTCGTTTGTCACACTATCCTATAAAAAACAAGTACCAAGCTTAATATTTTGTTTTCTAATGAAAATAATTCATAATATTATTAAAACGCATAACGTATGACGATTGCTAAAGCGCCTAGGGTTAAACAGCGATTGTCGCGATACTGACGAATCTTCGCCGAGTTAAGTGTCAGTGAGACAACGCTATACAGACCGCAACATCTTATATTCATGAAGGGACCGGCTATATCAGTTACACACGGTTGTAGCGTTCGGAAATCCTACGTTGAACGAAAAATATTATTATGTAATAGAATATTATGATGCTTTGATTTAAAGTAGAATCTGTCTTCTTGTTCTTCTTTCTTTTCTTATTACGGCCCATCGCAAGTCGTTGAACGTTGAACATAGATCTCTCTCATAGATTGTTTTGGAACGAAGTTCTTTTTCGGATGGTACGGATTTGGCGGATGGGGGCTAGGCGTCAAAGAGTGTGAGATTTTTCCGTAAAGACCCCTTCTAACGTAGTGTAGACGGCCTTGGCGTCGGAAGCGAGATGGAATAATATCCATCTTCCTCGCACTATTTTTTAACTTGCCATAAAAGAAATATTATTTTATTTTAAATGACGCTTCATTATAATAGACTCTAGTAATTATTTGTATTTGTTAATCAATAATATAATACGTTTATCAATAATAATATACTACGAAAGGAACTTCATTCCTACCGAGTGTTCCACGAGTCCACGACACTCAAGCATGCTGCTGCCCACCTCTTTTTCAGATTAGTTCTTTCACCTGTTATGACTCCCACGGAATGATATGGGATAATTGATTGTTTTACGCCGTTACATTAGGCTGTGTTATTTACTATTGTAAATAATTATCCGTGGGCTACTGCAGTAGCCACTTATTATCAGGTAGCCTGTAAGTTACTTAAGTATATTCGTTAAAAAAGGTAATTTTGTGTATTTATAGAAAGGTTACGGCACTTATATTAATTTATATAATAAATTTGTTTAATATTTCACCAATTGGAAGTATCTTAAATATAAAGAGCGGATGGTACACGAGGCGAACGTGAAGATATCGTCTACTGTCCACTATATACTGCGTTCGTTTACATGCTATGTCACTTATTTGCCTCTATTTTTTGGTAAACGTGGTCCGAGTAGCTAGCTGCTTTTCGTACCCTGCCTACCCCACAGTGATTTCAGGTGTGTCGCTATATATAATAAATATTCATATAACACAAAATATACACTTCGCTGACACGTGATGTCCGCTAACATGGATTGCTTTAATAATTAAGAAAGTTGTACACAGTAAATATCCTAATACTGAAATTCTAATGATTTTGAGCGTCACATTTGAAAATCACAAAGCGTAAAAAGGTTTGCCATTTCTGTTGTCTATGAAATACGAGTACAATCAACCCCAAAACGTGTCGTTAACATTTCCAACGCAGTCGCACTTCCCTTTAGGCGATTATTATAAAACAAGCACCTAACTTATCTTAGGTGTTAATGTACATTAATTATGTGGTAAGGGGAGGTTAGGGATAAGATGTTTTGACAGAGTTTCAACTTTGAATTATGGTGAGTTTGTTAATGGACTTGCTGAAGGAGTTAATTTTGAATTATCGTCATCTGTGTTACACTAATGTTTAAGATTTATTTATTATACTTTCAGGTAAAATTTTTGCTAATTTCATAACAATTTAAAATATAAAATTTTCTAGAAATTAACACGAAATTTTATAAGTTTATAGTAATTTATATACTCAGAATTCATAGACTGATGGATAGATAAATACATAACTCTTTATTGTACACTAAAACAATACATAAACGAAAGAAGAAAAAATAGTCGGACTTTTTACCGTATAAATATTAAATTTAATTAATAAAATTTAATAATAATTCGACGACACCGCCACCTATCGTATCCAGGTTTTGAGATTTTATATTTTGGAAATAAATCCACATTTGTAGTGAATGTAAGTCATTTTGGTACTTAAATTTAGAATTTATTAATAGCTTCACTTTTTCGCTATCTATTGGATTCTAGTTCTCACATTAATAACCATGGACCATTGTCTCGACATAAGAAATATATTGTGAATATGATCTAGCTATATAGGTACGTAGACGTTGCAGATCTAGTGAACTGTAACGGTATTACTTATATTAAAAAAAACACTTGTAATTTCTCCTTATATAAACAATATATTCAGTCACCTAACAAGTATTTAAAGGCAGTTTTTTTTTAATCTCGTGCGAGCTTCGATATTGATTCAGGTCTTACATGACTGCTTTGGACTTAGCTAACTGTACCCACATACTTGCCACAAATATAATAAAGAAGAAGAATTGTAATTAAAACTTAGAAAATATTTTCAAAGCGGATATCAATGAGGGCTAATAATTTTCTGCTCACCAGATGTCGCTAGTTGACACTGAGGTGAAGTTTTTTGTTACACAACGTAATTTAATTGAGAAGTTGTTTTTTAATAAAAGTTTATCAGTTTCTAGAGTATTAATACACAAAACAATGCGTCAGTGGTTTGCTATTTAATTTTTTGCACATTTTTAACTTTTTTTTTTTATTTTTCTACTTTTATGAATATCTGTGGTTTGGTTTATTTATTTTTGATGTTATTAATATAAAATATAGCTAACAGTACAAAAAGAAATAATAACTATTACATTTTCCGAACAAATTAATTTCCTCACTATGAAATCTGTTAAATATTATACCTCACTTTCTAGTAGCGCCGCCCTGGTGCCAGAAAAAGCCGTGGATTTTTTCATTGCGAAAATCTTGAAAAAAAATTTATAGTAGGTTTTAAATTGATTTACCTGTGTGAATATAGGTATGTTTTTTCATATCGGACTTCTGATGGAACCTTTTGCCGCAGTACTGGCAGGGGTAGGGCCTGGTGTCGGAGTGAATCAGCAGGTGTGTCGATAGGGTACTGGAACGCTTGAACGTCTTCCCACATTGCTTGCATTCGAACACCTTTTCCACGCTGTGCACAGCCCTGAAAAGGGATATGAATTAGTAAAAGAAAAACTTTAAGCACTAGTGAAACTGAGTTTAATTTGTCTGTGTGCAAAGAGAAGAACAATGTACGATTTATGTGCGATGAAGTTTTTTTTTTTACAGGATAAGGGTGACAAACGAGCACACAGTCCACCTGATGGTAAGTGGTTGCTGCGGCCCATAGACATCTACATCTATCCTCTATAACAAATCAAAATGCAAATGCGTTGTCACCCGTGAGGACTAAGATGGAATGCCTCATTTCCAGTAAAAAGGGCCTCCGGCCACCTGCACTCACCAAGCGAAACGCAGAGGTAAACCTCTACTTCACGCTGGTATTCTGTGAGGTCGTGGTACCACCCCGGTTCGAGCCAGCCCATCCGTGCGACAGCAAAAGCCGCCACGTGGCTCTACCACTGTTAAAAGTATTTATTTGTCGTTTTTTTTGCGATACCTTGCAGTTATGTAGTAAAGTCCATACATATAAGTTTTTTTAACAACAAACGAAGAGTAAATTTTGCACACCTAAAATTTGGAGCGGTGAGGTTGTGCATTATTAATTAGTATTTTTCTTATAACAACATATTATTTATAATAATATTTCAGACATGATAGCTCACGAGACAAGCGCTCGCCCTAAATTCATATTGTAAGAAAGTTAGATAAAAGAAGAAGACGAAAGATTTACCACGTGTTCGGTGGTGAAGGAAAACTTCATGAGTAATGATTTCTTATATTTACGCGAACACTACACATTGTATAAAACAATTTTTACGAATTTAATCGCGTGTATTTTACTTATTTAAAAATGTTATACATTCTTATTTTATAATTTAATGTCTATATAATTAAAAAAATAAGGTTATGCTCCAAAAATTTAACTTTACACTTTTTACGAGCTCGTAATATACCGCTTATGGAGGTGGGTCTTGCCCAAGTTGAAAGAATTGTCGTAATTGCCACGCTGGGTAAGTAAGTATTAGCGCAGTTGCAAGAGCCTGACAAACGGAAAATTGTAGGAATGGCAATTTTTAAAAATTTTATTGTGTCATACATCGAATGTCGTAATATCTTTCTACTATTTCATATTGATCATTCAATATCAATTCGACTGTATGTTCTTTTTTATATATGTGTTACCTCTAACTTTTTTCTAGATGAAAGGATTGCAATGCTTCTTTTTTATTTGAATGCTGCTGCATCTCATGTGGTACCATAAAATTTGATCAAAGTCTGACGAATAGTTTTTGAGTTATCTTTAATAATTTATATTGAAGTCGGTTGTAAAAAAAATTTAATTTAATTATTGAAAATACGTTTCTTTCGCGATGCACTTAAAAACTGGAACTGTTTGATATAACGCTCCAATGTAAGGTAAGGTTATTTTTCAATTATTATTTATTAACACTAAAGCATTTTCATAGACACCCACCTGTGCTGACTAAGGCTGATTTCGTGCCCGAACGTTTTACTGCACAACTCGCAAGCGAAAGGTCTTTTTCCATTGTGAGATCTTCGAGCGTGCACTTCGAGTCCATGCGGTGTGCTGAACATTTTTTCACATTTCACGCACGAGTACACGTCACCAATAGGCAACGGTCTCGACAAAGGGTTTGGAGCTCCCAACACTGCTGCTCGTAATCGAAGTAACTCTGGTCCAGCCGCTTGTACAGCGTGAAGATATAAGTTACTATAACCACCCCAGCCTGGGAGACCGAGGCTCCCAGCGTCTCTTAAAAATTCCGCAAATGGTAGTGGCGGATATAAGAATGGTCTTTGTGGTTGTACTCTTGGAGCGTCTGGTCTTAAGAGAGCGCTGACAGAAAAGGCTTCGGATCTTTTTAATGGAGGCGAAGAATCGGGTGGTCTTCTTGGGGAGGAAGGGGGAGAATCTACTTCCAATTCGGGAGAGCTGGAGCGAATCGATCGAGGTGATTGTGGGGACCCTGCCCAACAAGGACTACCGCAGCGAGAACTCGGAGAGTTATTCTCTGGTCTTCTTTCGTTGTTGTGTGGTTCATCTTCCTCTTCATCATTCCGATCGCCTACCAGTCGGTTGATACCGAATTTAATTTCTTCTGCAAAGAAAAAGAAAACAACTATAAATATACAAAGATAGAAAATCGTTATTTGTATAGAATAAGTAAATTACGTCGTAGAACCTTATGGCTGTAGTACGGAATTGGACGAGGTCTCACAAAAAGTAAAAAAAAGTTAAAGACATCCTCTCATTTTTGGGAGAAAATGTCCGCCGCGCTGCCCCATCGCGTGTTGGCGAACTTCACATGTCTTCGAAATTTTTTTCTTATTTCTCATACATGCAGGTTTCCTCACGATGTTTTCCTTCACCGCCGAACACGTGGTAAATCAGTACTTAAAATTGCAATCAACAATTTCATTGGTGCCGAACCCGGAGATTGAACTGGGGTCTCACAGAATTCCAACGTAAACTATCACAATAATGATGGTGTGCTTGTTATGCTATGTTAACGAGACATTCCGTGTTAGTAATTGATTAGAACTGTAGATGTCTATGCGCCAAGCATACACTTACCATAAGGTGGACTGTGTGCTCGTTTGTGATAAAAAAGTCCTAGGTATAGATAATAACATTAGAATTCAAGTTTGCTTTTGTTAAAGATATTTAAAGAACAATTATTTTCAGATTGAGGGTATCAAAAAAAATGCAGTAAACCTTGTAATTTTAATAAGTATAAATATAATATGGTTGAATATTAATCGTGGTAATTGATAAAAGAGATCAACTAATTCGTTTTGTAATTATGGTTATGAAATTGAAAGAGAAACTATATTAAGTTTAAATTTAGCCTAATCAGCTACCTCAGCAACCGATTCAATGCAACGGTAAGCTAAAAGAATCCACGAAATTAAAAAAAAAATCAGGAAAACAAAACATATGGCTTGAATACAAACAAAAATAGAGCATTATTCCCATATTACCCTTTACATTGCATCTCACAAATGTTTGCTGAAAGAGCACAAAGGGCACCCAAACGCCCCTGGGCCAGTGAAAACGCGCAGGTGCCACACTTGTAGCAACCGACGAAATGAGCCGTATCATGTCGCAGCAGCAAATTGACTTTCATCTGTTCCGTAGCCCTCGTTCAGCCCAACCCTAGTAATTAACACGTCGGGTCGGGCGGACCCCAATCTTTTTTTACAATTCACTAATCCGCGGGCGCGACTAAACGAAACTACTGCGTGCGATGTTCAATTCGTTTTGTTTGGCTCGGTGCTTGACGCTTTGTTAACTTTGTTCCATTGGGGTAATATTTACTTATGAAATCTGATTGTTAGAAATTAATTCGTGATATGAATTCATAAAAATGTAAAATGAAGAAGTTAGTCACTTAAACGTTATATATAATAAAATTTGTATGAAGTTAATCGAATTTACTTTTTTATTGGTTGGGACTACGCTGCAAATCCGAAGTTGGAGACAAAATGTATGCAGAAATATGATGTACCAATATTATAAGTTTTTGGATATTATTAGTTAATGATCTTCCCCGTGTCTCTGACAGTGCATTCTTATCTAATATCATAAGAACAGTATCAAATGTAATGCCTAAATCGGGCGCGGTTTGCTTATGAGTGAGTCTAACTAAGTCCTACCCGTGTTTAAAGTGGTTTGGGTACAATTGTCGTATAAATATAAAGACTGATCGATTTCGATTGTTTTGAAATTTGCTCCATGATCGAAATTCCTCCTAATTTATTTTGAAAACGGATGATGCGGGTATAATCGTAGTATATTAGTTTAATTATTCAAAACTGGACACAGTTTATATTTTAAATAAGCCGTCTTATTCTTTTTTTAAAAATACGTTAATAATAAACAGTTGTAGAGCCACGCGGCAGCTTTTGCTGTTGCACGGATGGGCCGGCTCGAACCGGGGTGGTACCACGACCTCACAGAATATCAGCGTGAAGTAGAGGTTTACCTCTGCGTTTCGCTTGGTGAGTGCAGGTGGCCGGAGGCCCTTTTTACTGGAAATGAGGCATTCCATCTTAGTCCTCACGGGTGACAACGCATCTGCATTTTAATTCGCAAACGAGGATAGATGTAGATGTCTATGGGCCGCAGCAACCACTTACCATCAGGTGGACTGTGTGCTCGTTTGTCACCCTAATCCTATAAAAAAAAATCAAAAAATAGTTCATATCAAAAATATAAAAAATAGTTTTGTCAATAAAATAATTAATGTCATATGTTTCTGGAAAATCGTGTCCCTTGTCCGTATATAAAATTCATACATCATCGTGTTACCATCGGCACGAACTCACGCTGTCCAAAAACAAACATCCATCTCGAGATGAGACAAGTTACTCTAATGAAGAGCAGCCCCTATATCTGAAATGCAGCAGCTGTTCATTCAGAGCGGAACCAATCGGACAGTTTCGACAAAATTCGTAGCGAAACATAAAGCGAGAGAAGCATCGACGAAATTTGCGATAGCTTTAAACATCGGCCTTTCACGCCCGGACCTCGGCGTGTAGGGGGTTGACGTTGCACTTGTTTGTTTGTTCCCTTTGCGACATGGTTTTATTACCCCATAGTATTTATTACATATTAATGGTTATTTAGATTCATTGTTCCGCCCCAACAGTATGCTCGAATTCATGGGCTTGCGAAATATTGAATAGGAACCCTATTCAGATCAATGGAGTGTAATATAAAGACAGGCATTATTGCTCTCCATTGTAAGAATTATTCTGTAATTAGAAACAATTTAAGAGCCCCGAGTCGCAGAAAATATATTGTTATTTCCCTTTTATAATATTATTATGCTAAATACAGTTTTTTCCAGCGGTAGTGGAGAACCAAACACCTCACCTTGCCATTTGACATATTTTGTACCAAATATGCAGTAAGAATTAAAAAATATACGAGTATACCTACATAGTATACCGCTTTTCTACCGACTTAAAAAAGGAGCCGGTACTCAATTCGACTGTATGTTTTTTTATGTGTGTTACCTTATAACTTTTTACTGGGTGAACTGACTTCGATGATTCTTTTTTATTTGAAAACTTATGCCTCAGATGTGGTCCCATATAATCTAAATTGATCAAGATCTGACCAGTAGTTTTTGAGTTATACTTAATAATTTATATTGAAGTCGGTTGTACAAAATTTTTAATTTTTAATTATAATTTTTTGGTAAGCAAGATAAGCAACGCATACCTACTCTAATGATTACATATAGATACTCGTAGTATCGTTATATCAAGATCAATATTGTAATAATATCAATAATATAGAGATATTTATCATTATATAAAAGTTTATACTATAGGTTACATCTAAGTAACCTATAAGTATATCGTAATATCATAACTACCGGTGTTAGGTGCTCACTCCAGCACTACTTGTAAGTAATTTAAAAAATACTACTGATGCTAATTGTTCTGTTAATAACGTATAGTAATAAAATAAATGAAATAATGAAAGATTAAGAATCAACTGTTATTGTTTAATAATTAAACTTTAATAATTCATTGTAAATGTTCTGTGTAATAAAATAAACTTCGATAATCGACCTGTGTCATTGTATCAAGTTCCTTTGAAAGGGCGTTCTTTTCGATTTAAAAATAAATAACTTTCCATATACCGCGAGATGTGAGTAATCAAGAAGCTGTGGTAGTTTATTGACAATGGAGACAGTGTCATCCAGGGTGTAAACAATAATAACCTCGTTTCCTGATTACATACATCATTTGTTGCCTTCGTCGATACAAAGAGGTAATGTATTAAGCGAATGCTTCGTTAGTCTAGTTGGTCATAAGTTCAACTGCTGATCATGTGGCCCGGGTTCGAGTCCCGGATTGGGCTAGAATCCGTTATTGGGTTTCTCTGTCAAGAAATTCTCAGTAGCAGCCTGGAGTTTGAGAAAATTGTCGGTGTTTCACCCCATGTCTTGGCTAGCAGGTAAGGCGGTTGGTTAGGACCAACTGCCTTACCTGCTAGTTAGGTGTAGGCACCCGATCTCTCTTTCTTTCTCTCTCTCTCTCTCTCTCACACACGCACACACTCTCTGAGAGTGAAGGAATAAAGAGAGCATCTGTGTTCCGCACCCAATCGTGCACTATAATCTTGTCCTGCGCAGATGGCTAGTCTCCGCTCAGAGTGGCCGTCGCGATCAAAATTTGTTCTGGAGGACATTATGTATTAAACGTTTCTTCGCTTAGAACTGATGGTTCTTACGATTTATATCCCACCATCATACATCCCATGTCATTTTAAATATAAATCAAATGGTAATAAATTTGTACGTGGTAATTCGAAATTCGAATTTTAATTCAATACCGTAAAGTGGCGGCGTATGAGAATGCACGGAGCCATCATCCCGTGGGTGTCGTAAGAGGCGACAGACGGAAATGAAACAGGAGATGGGGAGCAACATCTTCCTGATAACGACTCAAGATTAAAACTGTTGTTGTGCCAATGTAAACGATAAAGATGCACTTGTTGCACGATTTTTTTCTGATGTATTTATTAAGTATTGTAGCCATGCTGCAGCCATATTAGTAGTATAGGTGTAGCACGAATGGGTCGGCTCGACCGGGGAAGAACCACGCTCTCACAGAATACCAGCGTAAAATAGCAGCTTAAAACTGCTGTGTTTCGTATGGTGAGTGTAGAGAACCGGAGACCCTTTTTACTGGAAAAGAGGCATTCCATCTTAGTCCTCACTGGTGACAACACATCTGCATTTTGATTCTTTATTGTGGATAAATGTAGATGTCTATGACTCACAGCAACCACTTACCATCAGGTGGACTGTGTGCTCGTTTGTCACACTATCCTATAAAAAAAAAATGGAATGAAGGTACTAAATAAAATTCAAATATCACTAGTATCTCATATATATTAGAGCCTGCCTTTAAACTTCCAATCCGTTTTCATCCCCACCGGGGCCTATGAAATCGTTCTGTACAATTTTAAGTTCTCATTCTCCACGCGATCGGCGGTCAATGAAAGAGGAAAGTACTTTCTGCTAAACGCTAATTAGATTACCGAGCGGCAGACCGGTGCATTTTTTTATACAAACAA